GAGTGCCAGATAATTTCAGCTATGACATTCGGGTGAATTTAAATGTGACATCTGGGCAATAGCAGATCGGGTGTATAGTCCCAATCATTGGCCCTCACTGTCACTGGATATATCCTTCCTCGATTTCTTTTGAGGTGTCCTATGAAAGTTCTGGTGTACGATACAACCGTGGCCAGTGGGTGGAATTTTGTCGCAAGCATCTACAAAGTTATCGTGGCCATTCGAGTGACGCTCAGAATATTTCAAAACGTCCATGTGGCAGGAGTGTCAGATTTGTGTTGTAGCTGGTGGCTGAAAACTTCAAACACCTTCTGTGGTCTCGAAAACGTCCCATTTTAATGAATAAAATAATGCTCTTCACTTATGCGTTGCTCTTTTATTTATCGTGTTCTCTGCTCACTTATCCGTGACTATGACGTTTGCTATCTGATCCCAATTCGCCTTTGAGTAACCTATCTCTTCAAAATTACGTACCCGCGATGGCTACCTATTCTCTCTCTCCTTCCTCTTTTTTTCTCTCTCAATATATACATATCATGTCTTGAAACTAGCTTCACAATAATTTCCTTATTTACACGTCTGAATGCCTTCTCCATTCTTTTCCGTGCAAGCATTGTTACCGCCAAAAATGAATCAAATAAAAAATGGCGATTTTTTTAATTGAACATGGCTACAAATTTGTTCCTTCCTGTATTTCAGATAGTTTGCAATCTGATGTACCTCAAACTACAGAATTTAATACTATTGCTGTGGAATTTTTTAAAGATTAAATAGATTTAGTATTTAATACATTTTGTTTGATATTAGCACACATTTTTCTATGAAATTAGAGCCAGTTAAAAAGAATTTTGAAAGCTTATTAATTCTTTTTTCTTAGTTTCGTAATGTAACAGTCTTCTGAAGCAATTCAAATTAGCTATTAGAATAGTCTAATGAATAGATAATTAACATAAGCTTTCAGAGATTCTGGCTGAAGAGAGCGAAACATTGCAAATTAACACTAAAATATACATTCTCAAGAGAGAAAAATTTGTTCGTTTGCTTTGAATACGGCAAAGGACACAAGGGCTATCTGCCTAAGGAAAGGAATTTCTTCGTGGAGGACTTTCTGAGGGAAACTGAGTCTTATTTACACTATACAATACTACGAAATATGTATGTAATACGTATATGCCTTTGTGGTGGACTTTCTAAGGAAAACTGCCTCATGGTCAAGTGACACATAGGGTAAACCACAAAAACTAACCATACAACCAGCCCATATCCCTGGAATAAAACCTAGTTCAAATTTTCAGTATTTAGCGGTCTTAAACACTCGGTCACTTGTGGGGCTGAATTCAGGTCGAATCACCAATGTTTAGCGGTATTACCCCGTGGTTATAATTGGGATTAAAAACAAAAAGTAAACGACAGTTTTTAAACAATGAAAAAAAATTAAGGAAATTTCTTAATGACAACATCAGAAAATCTCATCAAATAACATCAGAAACAGAAAACAAAAAATCAAATAAATTAATGCAGAAAGCCAGCAATAGATTCTCCTGTTTCAAGACTGCAAAAATGGATTATTTGGAAAAGAGAATCATTACTTTAAATGCTAATTAGCATAAAATATTTCAAGTTCCCTACGGAAACTTTTAGAGCGTAAAACAACGGATGAAAGTAGTTCGGGAATATAAATCCAAATAAAAAGATTTTAAGCATGAAGTGGAATTATAAGGCCAGATGAAGAAGAAAAAAAAATCAAGACTGCATAGATGTCATTTCTCTTTTGGGGATACTTAATTGATAAATATGTAAGACAGTTGCACAAAGCTGATAGAAAAATAGGTCTCTAAACGTGCAAGCACATGATCATTCATAATTGTAAACTAACTGATCTTTTAATACTTCCTGGCTCACAGGCAAGCTACCCAAAATTTGGAAGAACTCAACTATTATACCTATTCTTAAGCCAGGAAAAGATGCTATCGAGTGCAGAGGTTTTAGGCCAATTCATTGACCAGCATACTTTGCAAGACGATGGAAAGAATCATTCATACCAGAATGATGAAGTGGCTCGCTGAAAATAAGGCCCTGCATTTTTATCAAACTGCCTACAGGGTCAAGCAAAGCACAGCTGACCAGCTCTTCAACTCTCCCAATAAATTATTGATGGCTTCCAGGATAAACCTCACAGAAAAACCACCGCAGTATTCCTAGATCTTTCTGCAGCGTCTGGCAAAGTCTCGAGGCAGAAATTAATTGATATTATCCATAGAGCAGGTATTCTGGGTAACTCTCTCATCTGGATAAATGACTTTTTAAGAGGAAGAAGTAAATGGCACGTTTTTAAAAACCCATCACAGTTGGACAGGAGTCTCACAGGGCTCTGTTAAGTCCTAGTCTCTTCCTCCTCTACCTTAATACCATTGACTCCCCCATCAGCAAGGAGGCAAGAATTGCGTGTTATGCGGATGACATTGCAGTATGGCATACTCACTCTGTGACATTCATGAGTCACAAAGGCTTCTCAATACCTGTATGCAAGGCATTGAAGATTGGTCAAAAGAGCTCAAGTTCGCTTTAAATCCTGACAAAACTAATTATTGTATTTTCTCAACTAACAGGAAAAACAGAAGATCCTTTCAACCTACTATAAATTTATGTGGCTCTCTAATTAAACGAATTGCACATCCCAAGTACCTTGGCGTAACTCTTGATGATGAGCTGAAATTTTCACAACACCTCGAACAAATCTCTAACAAAGCCTTTAGGCTTAATATCTTTAAGAGATTATGCAGTGCATCTTGGAGATCACGACCAACAACTCTTCTTAATACTTATACTTCGTTTGTTAGACCCATTCTAGAATATGAATGAATGAATTTGCAGAAGAAGAGGAAGGTGCCCCCGTTTGGGCACCTGCCTCATCTTCTGCAAAGGTTAATATCGACACTGTCCAGTACAGAGCATCTAAGATCAATATTGGTGCCATCTCATCTACAAATAACAACAAAGAAGAAACTGAATGCGGCCTAACCCCCCTTGGAAAACAGAAGAAAGTTGGCCATCATTATGTTCACAAACAAAATTAGAAGCCTTACAGATCTGCATATCTCCAGCAAAACCTTTAAGGCGTGGAAAGGAAAAAAAAAATGGATTGAAACGGTCCTCCGCACTACAATTCGACAATGAAATTATGATAGAAAATCAACTTACAGCACGAAGGTATTGATATTGTTAAAGAACCTCTTCTCTCTACCAGTCCCTGCCCGCAAGCAATTATAAATTTAAACCACTTGCAACCTTGTAGCAAAAAAGAGTCAGCTGCAAAAGTCAAGGAGAAAAGCATCCACACCATCAATGAACTTTCAAACTCGGCCCCAAATCTGGCTATTGCATATACAGATGTTTCCTCCGACTCAGATCTCGACAAGGGTGGCGCTGGCATCTATTTCATTCATGCTAATGGTGAATCTGAATCGCATAAAATAACTGTTGGTAAAATTGTCTCAAATTATACCTGAGAGCTCGTGGCCATTAAAAAGACTTAAGATATCTACCATTCCAATGATATCCAGAACTCCAATGGCCTCTTATTATTCCCTGATTCTAAATCTGCGCTCCAAGCCATCCTAAGGGGCAACACTCAACTTACCCAGGACATTATCAAGCTCATGAACAAAACTACTGCAGCCCAAAGTACCTGCACATTACAGCGGATACCAGCGCATGTTGATATTTACGGAAATGAGCAGGCTGATGTCCTTGCCAAAGACTCCCGAAATAGTTCTCAACTTTCCAACAGCTTAACCCTTACCGATGCTGACGCAATAGACAGCCGAAGACTTACCTCCCAATCAATCAAGAATTTCATTCCTGCACTAAATTGTAACCGTGTTATTTCCACTACCATAGCCAGAATGAGGACAAAACACTTGAAAGGAATGAAGATATCCTCTGATAGTCAACGAAATTATAATAGCTGTCCTCACTGTATTGATATCGAACTTTCTCCAAACCATCTCTTCGACTGTCCTGCCATTCTGGCCAAGCTCTTCAGTATTGATATAGCTCCCTCGCACCAACTCCTCTCTTCTTCGAAAATTATTGATGTTGCTGCGGCTGTTCTGGATACTTTTGGCCCTATTTGACCCCTGTGCACTGATGCCTTAGACAAAACAACAACAACTGATCTTCTCTCATTGCTCAAGGATTTTGTTATCAGCAAATCGATGACCAAAATGATCTTAAAACTGCATAAAATATTGGGAAACAAAAACAGAAGCAGCTGAAATATTTAAATGATGTAATAGCAAACATAGAACTCAGACTTATATCTTATTAAAAGATATTGAACCTCAAGAGCTTGAAAAACTCAAAATTATCTCAAAAGATACTTTTTGAGTACGATATAACAGACTTGTGGGAAAAATTCTTTAAGGCGTTTTCTTAATAATAGAGTAACTGGAAGTAGTGATTAAAACATTTCATATAAAATACTGATTTTTTCCTATTTTATACCCATAGCATAAATAATGATACTGTTGTTATTTATAATGGTAATTCTTAGAAAGATAACCCTCGCATGCTTTGCCAAGTGGGAAACAAAAACAGAAGCAGCTGAAATATTTAAATGATGTAATAGCAAACATAGAACTCAGACTTATATCTTATTAAAAGATATTGAACCTCAAGAGCTAGAAAAACTCAAAATTATCTCAAAAGATACTTTTTGAGTACGATATAACAAACTTGTGGGAAAAATTCTTTAAGGCGTTTTCTTAATAATAGAGTAACTGGAAGTAGTGATTAAAACATTTCATATAAAATACTGATTTTTTCCTATTTTATACCCATAGCATAAATAATGATACTGTTGTTATTTATAATGGTAATTCTTAGAAAGATAACCCTCGCATGCTTTGCCAAGAAATTTAATTAAATCACGTTGTTCTAATACTTTTGCACAGCAAATTTTACATAAGCAAATAAAACTTTACTAGTATGTACTGCACCTGATCTGACAACGCATTCAAATCTTTGAAGGCATATCCAAGTTCTTTCCAACCACTTTTCAATCCTCCGCCTAAGTTCCGTCCTGGCGCCGATTGTGTAGAGGAATGGGTTCAGAGCTGAATTTATCGGCAAAATGAAAACGACAACGCATGCATAAAGATTATCTAAAAGTGGAAAACAAAGCATGTAAAATTAGTATTCATGATGACATACATAATTCCGGGGTAGACAATATAGCATCAAAGTAAACAACAGCACTATATGCAAAAGCTCATACTAAACAAGTACTTCACTGTGCAGGGAAGGAAAAAGAGCCTTATAGGTAATTCTGCCTCAGTACGGGACTTGTCCCCCGGGGTGCTCTCCATCAAAATTCGGGGAGGAACTGAGCTAAATCGCACTGTCACCTGTATAGTGCTCAAGGCTGTTACCAACGACAGATGTATTTTGCTCTCCTTGCCACGAGAAATTTCGTGGGCTTGGGCTGACGTTACTGTCAGACAAGTGGAGCAGCAACAAAACTTCTGGAGAAAGGTAGATGCGAGTAGTAGTAATAGAAATAGGCGTCCTAATGCGCCCATAGATGTTTAATCGGATTTTAATCCAGAAAATACGCGGACCACTCCATTGCCTGGATTCCTACGCCCCAAGATAGTCGATGACAAGTGCAGGACGATGAGAATGAGCACTAGTGTCCTTTAGAAGGAAGTTACTATTTAATTTACCATTAAACAACTTGATATAAAAATCAAGAACTTCATCTCTGTATATTTCAGCATTCGTATTTGCACTGGCAAAAATATGCAGCTCAGTGCTGCCATTTAAAATGATGCTCACCTACACCATGATTCCACCATCTTTGTGCCTGTGCTGTTTTCAAGTTTATTGCACGTGTTTTGTACCCACTAGATTGTAATAAATTTAGAATCACTCCTCAAACATGAAAGAGACTCACCAGTGAAAAGAACTCGGCTCCAGTCCGCGATTCTCCAGTCAGGATGATCTCTGCACTACTACAACAGGACGCATTTCACAGTCCGAATTAGCATACAAGTCATGGTTTCCCTCCAATATCGGCTTTTTAGCATTATCCCAGAATTTTGGAAGCGGTTTGTAAAAAGACTCCCTTGCATCTGTAGGCGCGTGCTTTTCTTGCGCGTGCCAAATAAGCTTAATTCGTGCAGCGTTTCGATCTAAAGGAGCCTGCTCAACCAATACGAGGGCTATCCAGAAAGTAGATTACGTTTTGGAATAAAAAAATAAACAAAGTATAGGAAACAAATTTTATTATATACAGATGAAAGCCACACTCAAATACTACTTTTCTACATAGTCACCATACAAATTAAGGCATTTATCGTAGCGATGTACGAGCTTGGAAATTCCTTCGTCGAAAAATTCGGCCGCCTGCGCCTTCAACCACTTCGTTACCTCTTCTTGCAGCTGTGCGTCGTCATCAAAACGCTGCATAGCCAGCCACTTCTTCATTGCTGGGAATAGGTGGAAGTCGCTCGGTGCCAGGTCGGGACTGTACGGCGGATGAGGAAACAACTCCCACTTAAAAGATTCAAGAACTTTACGAGTGACATTTGCCGTGTGGGGGCCGGGCGTTGTCGTGAATCAACAAGATCTTAGAGCTCAACATTCCTCTGCGCTTGTTTTGAATTGCTCTTCTGAGTTTTTGGAGAGTTTGGCAATACCTTTGAGAGTTTATTGTAGTGCCTCTTTCCAGGAAGTCCACCAAAATTACACCTTTTCTGTCCCAAAAAACAGTCGCCATCATCTTCCTTGCCGACATTGTTTGCATGCATTTCTTGGGTTTTTGGGGAGAACTTGTGTGCCCCCACTGCATTGATTGCAATTTCGTTTCACAGTTCACATGTTTCACCCATGTTTCGTCACCAGTAACGATGCGATCGAGTAAAGAGTCACCATCCTTATGGTAAGCGTCCAAAAAGTTCAACGCTGCAGCCATTCGCTGATTTTTGTGGTCCTCTGTCAAGATTTTTGGAATCCATCTTGCACAAAACTTGTGGTAACCAAGCTTTTCGCTGATGATTTCGTGCAACAAACTTCGCGAAATTTGTGGAAAACTCAAAGAAAGTTCCGTTATTGTGAAATTTCGATTTTCACGGACTTTAGCATCGACTTTTTCGAGAAGTTCGGCGGTCACTATGCTGGGTCTCCCACTTCGATCTTCGTCGTGAACATTGGTTCGGCCATTTTGAAATCTTATGACCCACTGACGCACTCCACCTTCAGTGATAATGTTGTCCCCATACACTTCACGAAGCTGCCGATAGATTTCTATCGGTTTACAGTTTTTTGCAGTCAGAAACCTTATTACTGAGCGCACCTCGCAGCTCGCGGGATTTTCAATTAACGCAAACATTTCAAACCGTCACAGTATCTGAACGGAGCACAGCACGAACCTCTCACTAGCACGGCTAGATGCAGACTGAGCTGCGCAACGCTCTGACCCCAAGATGGCCGCGCTAGCCCCGCCCCTAGCGGACACAGACGGAAACGTAATCTACTTCCTGGATGGCCCTCGTATGATGCTTTGCTTTTAGCTACTTTTAGTATATTTACAGACATCTGTCAATGTCAGACGTGCTTCCATTCTCCCAATCGCACGCCATATTTCTCAATCCATAAAACGCATTCTCAGAGACTTTACACACGCAAAAATTTCATCCAGTTTGAAAGTTGGCACAGTTCTTGAAATTAAAACCTGAAGGACAATCTTGCCCTCCCTTCCGCACATGCCGAATGAACAGGTGCAAAACATAGCATATTTCTTTTTAGTGAAGATGGACTACATGATTCCCATTGAACTTTGAAATAATATAGTCCAGTGACTACAAACCAATTTGAGCTACCACCTAATCACCTTTTATCCAGCTTTTGCTTAAATAACTACAGAATAAACATACTCTTTTGTAGCTGTTCCTTTAATTTTTCTGGCAGCTCAATGGAATTATACTTTTATGTCCTAAATTAAACCATTGATGAAAAAGAGCTTTAAATGCTTTCCTTCCCTGCACGTCACTAAGTTCTATCACAAAAATATGACTTACGAGAAATAGCGACTCCTACAAGAGCCAATAGCTTGATTAGGACAATGGGTATCCAGCAAAGACAATCCGTAAGCACAATGAAAAAAAACCTGAGGGCTAAAACTGCATCCTCATGTTTCTTTAAAATCACAGGTCTGGCAGACTGACGATCACGTTTGATGATAATGAACATCCTTACGTATAGAACTATAATTAATATCACCTGCAAAAAAGAGAAAACAAGTGTAATGGAGGTATTACTTGTGAATATCAGACAGCCGTAGTTAATTCTTCGTACTTCTCTTTTTCATATTCCTTGTAAAAAGCCTGCATTAACAAAATACGCGACTATTTATTAAATTATTTATAAATGCATTGCTAATGAAGGATTTAATTCTTCACAAACTTCTGTGAATGTTACCATGAAGAAATCTAGTTCTTAAATATACCTAAATTTATAATGATTAAAAAAATTATTTTAATATATAATGACCTTAACATTTAGTTGTAAATATAAATTAAAATTCGTTGCCAAATATATTTACAAACCTATTTAAGCAAGAGTTGTTCATACTGGAAAACAATCTATTAGAAAGTGCTCTAAAGCACAGGCTATGAGATGCGTACTTAAGGAAGTAGTAAAGTAGAACTTTTCGAATGTGTATTGTTGAAATAAAGCATAGAAAAAAAATGATAAGTATTAAAAGAACTATTTCCTTATATTTTATAATAATTCAGATACAAGTTTTAAATAATATTAACATAACTACCTCTTTTTATCCCTTTCAGAGATACTCATAGAAAGTTAAATACATGGAAATCAAAAATAAGCAGCAGTATTTAACGTATATCAACTATTAGAATAAAAAGTGCTGTAATTTGAAATGAATCGAACAGAGCATTAATTATAGGGTGAGTATTATTTTTGATGTAAAAGATGCGTCAGAAGCTGAAAAATCATCTTATATTTCAGGAAGATCTTTTGTAAGTGGAAAAGAAATAATGTGGGATTTTAATATTAATAATATTAAATCTTTGATTTTAATTTTTTATTGTTAACCGAATGAAATCGGATTACCTTAAAATTTCCTTCCAATGTAATTAGCGAAATCTTGTGAATACATTTCATTCAAACTAAAACTGTTCTGGGAAAGGCAAAGCATTTAATGCTGTTCAGAATGAAATGTTGTTTAAAAATGTATTCTTTCAGATTCTTCTTAGGACTCTGAAACGTTACAGAAAAAGAAAATATATACATTTATACTTAGATTTACGACATAATTACAAAATCTTTACCTCCGATTTTGTTAAAACCTATTAATCTTAATGGCAAGTCACTGAATGCTTTGGTCACCAAGAAGGGTGCGTCAATGCTATGGGAAAAACCATTTTGGGCCTTCTCCTCTCTTTCTTACCTTGATGCACCCATTCTGGTGACCAAAACATTCAGTGACTTCGGTATATGTATCTATGTTCGTATCTGAATGTTCTTAACTTTGATAATCACCATTAGAAGAGGTGAGAAGAGCACCGAGGAAGTATTTTTAACATTGACTTTTATGTAGGTTTTTTGAAGAACGCCTACAGTGGACTTATGAAGAACGAAGAAGAAGTTATTGCAACGGCGACTGTATTGGACTGCCCATACAAGAGTTAGCCAATACGAGACCTGTACAAGAGTTAGCCAACGATTTATAAAAAATTACTGGAATGGATGATATTTTGTCAAAGCATATTACGGAAATTAATTCTAATATTGTATGTAGTTTTATGCAGCTCGCCGAACGATAAACAGTGCGGTTCGTTGCTACAAAGAAATGTATGAAAATAAAAGGGCAAAGAAAGAAAAATCTGCAGACAACTGACAATTTTTTTAGAGAATGAAAAACGAATTACGAAAAACGAATTACGAATTTAAAACAATTATGCTTAATAAAGATATTTTGATTTATTAACCATATTTTTATTTACTAGAAAATGGGGATGCATTTTGTTTTGGAATCAATTATCGGTTTTTTGCACGTTTTTAGGTTTTCAATTAGTCTCATTTCAACCAATCATGGATATTAGTGCAATCGATACCAGGACTATGCAAGGTATTGCTGTATATACATTCCCCCACTCATAAATATCTCTCTCTATACACATATACGCAAAAATACGAAATGCTACATTATATTACTACAAAATACAATAAAACATACTCAGGCATTCATAAATCCAAAACAAACGCGGAAATATGTTTACACATGTTCTAGCAATACATAAATACATTATTCCATGAGCATTAGAAAATGACAAATAATAGAATTATTGTAGAATTTGATTTCATACCGTATTTACTCAAGTTTTTATTAGATTAATTTAAATTATTAATCTTAATGTTCAATCTTAACGGTGTTTTTAACAACGAAAGTTACTCAAACGTAAAGTAATGTTTAAAAGGAAACATTCTGCTCTTATTTGACATGAATAAAACGATATTTAATATTGAACCAGGGTTTTATTTACTTATTACTAAATACGATATCACCTCATTTGAAATCTGAAAAATCCTTAGTTTTTTAAAAGTTACACCTCTTCTACAGCCCGTGTTTTATAAATTTAATGCATTATGTGACTTGATGTTAAATACAATAAAAGCAGATTATTGGGATCGCGTGGAGTTACAGCTTTTATCTACAAACGCATATAAAGTGACTCCATCTTATTACATTCAGTTAATTCTAAACTGAATATCGTGTTGTCAGAATAATTGCCTAATGATAAAAAAATATCTGTTCACATCATCGGAACATTTTTCATCTTCAAAACTGGCTATATATTAATTAGAATAATATTGATTAGAATTTTTAAATGTTTATGGTGAAGTTGTACAAAATTAAGATTTATGAAATTTACTATCTGCTTAGTATTAATTGTTTAAATTTGGGCAATTTTTGAATTTCATAAAATAATTAACAGAAATTAGAATTAATGAAAGTATTTTTTCTCGAAATATATTACAAGGATTTATAAGGCAGTTTAGATGGAGAAATAATTTCAAGTAATATATGTATTTCATTTTGAAAAATGATACTGATGAAAATTTACTTCCATTACACGTAGAAATACATTTTTAGAAATGCGTATTACTACCTGCGAATTTTTTCATTTCCTTGATTATTTATGAAATTTATAATTTAATGAGAGTCAACATTTTTTACAAGATAAATATTTATTTTATTTATAGTTTGACGTAAAATTAATTCTTTCTCAAAGTAACTCAAAGTAAAGTAAAATAACCTCAGAATAAAATTAACTATAAAATGTTATTGAAAATATGCAAAGTAACCAGAGTCTCTGTTACAAAGAATTTATAATTCACAAGACAACTGTCTTAAGCTTGTAGAGTCATTAGGTATTTTTTTGGAAGCAGGCAAGATGAAAAATATGCAACGCTTTCGCCGGGAATCGAACCACGAATCTCTCAATTACGCGCTCAGTGTGCTGACCACTACACCACGAAGGCTCGCTAAGAAAGCGGGAGAAATACCTTATAAGCTCATAACTATATTATTGCTAGTTCAGAGGCTAATGAATGTTTTAATTTTTTAATGCATGCTAAACTAAATTGCATCATCATTACGTGTAGTTGAAACGATTTCATTCGTTGAGTGACAGTACATGTTCACTAAATTTTAATACAATATTATACTTATAAATTTTATATTGTATTTCAGTAAAAGATTAAAAACATACAGCTGAGAAGTTGATGCCAAAGAAGACAAATGCGGAATATTCCCACCCGAATGAGAAGGGGTCACTGATATGTAACGGTATGCAAAGGCCATTGCTTGAATAAAATCCTTGTTCATGAGAATATTTCAGTATTGGTATTATTGCCAGCACAAATCCGATTATCCAAACAGCTGCCAAGCTGTACCGAGCGCCAGAAAGTGTTACCACTCGAACGTTTGTTCGGATGCAACGGTACCTGCGAAAAATAAAGATTATAAAAATTTCCTAAAAACATTAACAGAAACAAATCTTTGATTAGCAACATAATAGGTTAGGAACTGGAAATATTTCTTAAACATGTCTTGGCATTAGAGGATGCAATACAATTTTTTTTTCTTCCCCCCCCCTTAAATCCTAAAAACCACAACGTTACGGACGAGATTCTTTCCTGGAAAAATCTTTAAGTATGATTTGTGTGTAACTCAGATTTATGACGGACAATGCACATACAATAGTCGTAGTCCTAAGTCCTAGTCAGTAGTATCAATAATAATGTGGGGGTAAAACTGAAACAATGCAGTGCTGCAATAGCAACAATTGCAGTACTTTTGTACTATAATAATTAATAAAATAAATTATATATTTATTTTTATTTAAACTTTAAACAAGCATGACATATTTCCCTTTAAAAAAAAAAAACCTCATATGAGAAATTTAGGCAGAAGATAAACAATTAAAAAAAATTCACTTTAATATTAATCTAATGTTGCCTCAAAGTGTCAAACTGCTATCAGACTATAAACCAATTTCCTTTAATGTTTCGTCGAATACGATGTTTGGAGGAATTTTTGCTTTCAGGAATTTTACATGTCTCGTGATTGTTTCATCATTTTGATTGGTTGACCTACATAAACTATAGATTCGAACAGAAATTTTTCGCCATCGTCGTAAAACACTGCGGTTGGAAACCTGCCGTTCAAACTATATTTCTGGCAAAATATCTCTAGGATACAGATATGATGATATCATAATAGCTTTACTCAGTGGAAAGAGCATCTTTGATAAGATGCTATTGACTTACAACTATACTTTACTACTATTGACATTTGTGACGCGGTGAACGAACACGGGCCGCATGAAGTTCAAACACGTTCACATTTAAGCGCACATTTGAGGAAGCTTCGGGATTACAGCAATCAGATGGTGTCACCATAAAATAATGGCGACAGATGCATGGAGAGGCGACAAGAAATACTTGTTTTTGAATTTCAGAAATATCGATATGATAGCGAGAAATGTATATATTGAAGAAGACAGAATTTATTGAACTGAGTTGAAGATCTATTGAACTGAGATGAAAAGGGATAACTACGTCTACACAAATTATTCACCTAGAGCTGGATCAATATTAAGAAATTCAGATGTAAAATGTTGCTTGTTAAATGCTTCTAATTTTTTCAAGGTGTTGCAGTCCACCCAGTGGCGTAGGTGTGGTGAGCTAAAAAAAGCTCTACAATATTTATTATAACATAATTACAAATACGAAATATGTACTTACCTACCTAACCCTGCCTAAAAAAACTTACTCTTTTAAAACATTCTTCTCTGAAGACTTCTTCCTCAAGTTGATTTCGCAATTTTCATGCAGATTCCCGTAACATGCGCATATTTAGAATTTTACAACAGAGGGCCTGTGGTGAATAATGTGTGAATGATAAGAAAGGAAATACAGTAAGTATCGTCTCTGATACACATAGCCAAAAATCCATTGACTATGCCGGTCATTCATGGGGTCCTAGTTGACATCGATACAACTTTATAAATTGAAATGCTTTTCTACTCTGTGTATTTTTTGAAGACGCAGTAAAAATCTTTAGCTCGTGTTATCTTCTTTAGAGGTAATATTGTTAATAGTTCTTCCTTTACACTCATATTCTTAAAACCATAAAAATACAAAGGTGAGAAATATCAACCATGTTCGTAGATCTGTCAACTGCATGGGAAAGCAAATATAGTTAGTACTATCCTTGGTCAACTGATCAGCCAGACAAGAATTCATCATTTCTAAGCGGCGCGTGATGGTTCTACGCGAAAGTTGACGATCTTTAATTGCAGAAATAATCTCATTTTTGTTCTTGAATGAATCAAATAATGAATCGCTGGCTTCCAGAAACGCTTCTCCATCTGCGAAAGGTTTCTTATGATTTGCTAACACATGACTCACATGAAAAGATGCAAATATTGATTTAGATGTAGTATTGGGGTCAATAAAATATGATTGTTGTCCGATTAATTGCGATTTAAGTTCTTTTAACTTTTATTTACGCAATTTGTTTTTGAACGGAAAATCTGTATTAAAACTTCCATGGATGCCTTTAAAATGCCATTCAATCTTTCTTTTTCTTTGGAATTGCCACACTTGCATGACATATATAACACACACATTTTGGATTCACCATTGTAAAGAAAAACTGTTCGTCCCATTCTGTATTAAAATTGTATGTTTTTCTTTTCTTAACACTTGTTTCCGACATTGTAACCCTCTTTTAAAATATGACACATTACTATTTTTATTACAAAAACACAAATAAGAAAAAATTGTCAAGTTGAATGTTTGAAGAACTTTAGCGACTGTTAGAGAGTGAAGCGTGGACATATTCAATGCAGCGAACATACGTGAACAGATCTGTAATCGACGCATATATGTAAGCGTCACCATGCGCTTCCATTGAATATACATGTGCATGATAACAATGAAGATACAATCATTTGCTTAAGTAAACACAGTCGCATCGATTGCGAAAAGCCGATTCTTCACTCTAGCTGGCATCGGTGTTCCATAAATATGTTTCTTTTAGTATGCGCGTTTTAGATCTTAGTAAAGGCGGTCACCCCAAAATGTCTTGGTGGTTAAACAGGTCGATCGCGATCAACTGAATGTCCACCTCTGCAATGAATATTTTAGGTGATGGCATAATTGAATGAAATTAATTAAAATCATTTTAGTTTAAAGTAATTCATTTTAATTTAAGGCAATGTTTGTAGCACTTTTAACGTTTTGGGGTCATGTGTTCGAATTCCTAAAGCATAATAGAGTCATTTTCTTCACCTTTCTCTGTGCAACTTTCATTCTTTTGATTCTAAATGTTGTATGCTACTATCTAATAATTTATTTATCTATTTATTTCATTTTTCTTGTGAGAATTTATTAAGATTTTGAGAAATTTTACAACAGGAATTTAAAGCATATTACCTTATACATATGCATATTTCATTTTACTTTTATATGAATGTGTAATAACATTCACATGTGTACATGTATAATAACTTTTGTACCGTGGAAAAATAGAAACTTACTTTTATAATTTTTCTAGTAAAACTGGCTCTAAATAAAGAAATACAAATTAAAAATATTTTATACAGCATTAAATAACTGCCTGCATGGTGTATTTTAAAACATAAACGTAACTTCGAATTAAAAATCCAGCGATGAGGTTAAAGAAATTGATGCTAAAATGTGATGTTATGTATTTTCCCGTTTATCTAAAAATAACGCATATTTTTTAGGTTTATGAAATTGGAGCTAAAATTTTTAATTACATATTCTCTTTCTTAGCTGAAAATTAGGACATATTTTAAAATATACAATATTAAGTGACAATCAATCGTATATGTTGCAAAACGTAAAAAATTCTGTGGAACTATTGAGTCTTTTGTCATATATGCTACGTTTTTTCAAAGTACCAGTTATTTATGAACAAGAGACGTAATTAACTTGTTTGTTTTATATTAATAATTTTATCATCATAATTTAATTAATTAATTTAATTTTAATCATATATTATTCATACAAGTTTATGGCTATAAGAAATGCTGAGAAAAGTTTAAAAATGATGTTATAACTAAGCTTCTGTGTGGTCAAAACGATTCATAATGTGCATTATAAGCTTACTAATATAATATTTAGTAATATGTTGTACCATTGCATTCAAAATTCATACCAAGTAGAAAAGCTAACAAAAGTTGAATTCAGGTATCAGGAATATCCCATCATTTAATATAGGGCATTTGGCTTGGTAAATGCAAATGATCTCCGAACTTACTTAAACGCAGAACTACTGCAAAAGTGTGAACGGTTGTCCGTCTTCGAATGCGTTTGCAGAGGTTTCTCGCCTAAAGACGCAACAAATAACGACTGCACTAGCAAATACGAGGATCTACGTAACGGAGATTTATTTACACTCTTGGATACTGTCTTGAACTACTGTTTTCATTATGCAATCATAAACTGCACCTTATATGTAACATAGGGAGTTTGTGGTATTGTCCTAACTGGCGATCTACCGGATTTCGTTAGTAAGTTAACCAGTTTTATACTAGACGGCGCCACCTCTTTTTCAGACAATTTTGTTTGTAAAAGCAATGTTTATGCTTATCGTTTCTTTCACACGCAATTTTTCCAGTGAATTTGCGAAGAGTTTTTAATGTGCTGTCTTCGAATCTTTGTTATCGATTTATTCTCAAATTGACACCCAGTAAACCGAATCATCTGCAACACGGAGACATCTCGTTTTTGAATTCTCATATACAGTTTTACACTGCGTACTTTGCTAGCCAATGATATTCAATTCATAAATAACAAAAGCAAAGGAATCAGTTTATTAAATATTTTAGTTTAAGCCCTGAATGGTATTCATATTATAGATGGATATGGATTCAATTTTCTCCCATGAGGTTCTCAGAAAAAGAAACACAAAAAAGATAAATTTTTAGTTTTTTTTTTCAATTAATTAATAATGGTAAAATCAACAAAGGAGTGAAATACAAATTTTCCAGAATATAAACAATTATGCAAAAAGAAAACTATTATAAATTAGTTAAGATTTTTGCTAAGGTTTAAGACATACAGAAAATAGTTAAGAAACTCACCTTTCTAGCGTTATTAGGGAAAGTATTAGAACAGATACTTCGCTGGAGACCATAGCGATAATACCACATGCTGTGCAGTGCCAGCTTGACAACCAGGCATGAGCGTACTTGTTATATTTATCTCTAAAGGACATATCTTGAGCCCCAACGGCTACCAAGTAAATTCCCATCAGGAGATCTGCAACTGAAGTATTTTCATTAAAAGATTGCAACACATTTCATGGTAACATTTGCAGAAGCCTGAGGTTGCTAAAAACTATGCGCATGTTTATGAAGAAAAATGAAAGACTAAAATCTCATTTAATAATATGTGGTGAGCAGAAAGCAGAATTCACCAAGTATAAAAATCACTTAATAATAAGCTATTAACATTGTATAAAATTTCAGAAATGTTGAAGAACGAAATAAATCTTCATTCGCAGTTGTAGTAATTACGAATATCAACCTTTAAAATGCATAGTTGTATAGCTGTAAGTTCAAAAGTTTAAGCTGAAATTTTGAAATCTACAATTGCTCGTCTAAAAACACTGAATTTAAAAATAAAATTTGTGGCTAAAAGATTGATTTAATTTTTTTGATACCGAAATATTGGCAATTATAAGATATCATAGATAACATTGATTTTTAATGCCTATATAGTGTTAAGAATCTCCCGTAAATATAGACCACAATTTAAATGCAAATTAATGATTCTAAAGCACAGGATGAACATTACGATTAGAAAAAATGAGAGAGGGAAATGTCAAAGGCTTTCACATCTCAGTCGTTAAAGCATGAACCTGCACTTAGCAAAGTCTGATCATTACCCATCTAAATCACTTTTCTTATGCAATCACCACGTAATATCTGTTGTATTGATTATACGTAATAAGTAAAAGTACATATAAATAACTTATTATCATGAAAATTATTGAGAAAGAGTATAATTTACAAAAAATAATCAAAGAAAGCTTCTGTGGGGTATTTAAAATGTTATATTTAATTTAATTAACTACGGTTTTCTAGACAATTTTTCTCATCTTAAGGTGCTTATTTTATGTTTAATTTAAAACAGGGATTATTGATTTTTTTTTAACATCAAATGAGGAAAGATCACTTAAAGAATAAAAAATGAGGCTGAAACAAGCTTCATCATTTAACTCCACATAATTTACACTTCATTTCTTACACACATCTTCAACAAAATTAATATTTGGCCTATCTCATTTTCTTACCTAGTACTTATTTTTTTCTATAAATGATAGTGCATCTATAGTAAAAAAATAATTCTTTTAGTTCAGTGATTAGATACTTACAAGTAAAATGTAATTAAATATCTGAAGATGACAAGATTGAGTATACTTTCGCTAGATATTTTACGATTTTTGCTTTTCCTATTTATTAACTCTAGTTTCCAACAGTTCCAGGAATTCTAAAGATTTCACCCATTAGCATTTAATGCTTAGAAGATATATAAATGTAGTATAAAATATGACATATTTTAGAATTATTCCAATGGATGAATGATATATTTTTGCATAACATACATAAATACTGATCAGTTAAGTGCTCTTGGAAGTCGTGTTGTTTAAACATAATATGTGATTAAACATAATATACTGAAAGACTACATTAGGTAAACAGTTTCACGTATGTTACCTACAAAATAACAACAGCAATCATAAAATGATGTGTCTTCTGGATATAGTTCGTATATTTCTTTTATAGCATAATTTTTCTGTTCATCAGTGTAAAATCACCATGACTAATCGACCTTATTTTAGATACCAAATTGAATTAACTAAATTAAACATCTGTTTGGAAACAACATACGTCTAAGTGTGCTCCTTGGAAGCTGTCTGCTAAAGGTATCAGACAGTGATATAAATGCATAATGAATATTTTAATGAACATTTAATGAACATTTTATTCATATACACTAAGATGATAAACAAACTTTTTTTTTTTTTTTTTGACTATAGTGTCCAGAAACTTACATGCCAAGTTCTTGATAAACAAAGAAAGTACTCTGTCTTCTTTTCTGGATAAAACACGCCAGGTTAAAACAACGGTATTACCGGCACAAGTCATTAGAGCTACTATCCAGACAGACATTCTTAAGGCCGGCCATACTAATAAGTGCTCGGTAGATGATAATCCATCAGTCTTTGGATAACAAATTCGAACATAAGGTGCATAACTGCAGTACAGAAATTTCTTAAAGTAGCTAAAAAATACAATATTGCATTAAGTTTTACACTGAAGTTATTATATATTATTACAATCATATTAACAATCAATTATTTAAATTTAATTTAACTTTACTATATTCTTTTGAACAATATTATTACAATCATATATACATTTGAAATTTCATTTGCATTTTGTTGGAAATTTGCATGCTATTAACAACTGAACAGTGCTGAAATAAGAAGTAATGAATATGTATTTAAACTTCAGTAAAAGCGCAGCTACTTGTGGATACGGTAAAGGCTCATTAGGTTGGGCAGAAGCTGATGCGGATTCGGTAAATGCACATTATGGGCGGTACAGGCTGATTGAAATGCTATAGATGTGGTAGCGGTCAGTGTTCCAAATATATCAACGAATCTAATCTCAGTTTTTATGGATGTCCAAATACCTGCTTATTTATTCGTCTAAACTGGCTATTCTTTCTGGATTGGGTTTCCCTGACGCAGCAGCGTAACAGTGGCCAATACTGCAACCTGTTTCTCTGGTAGCACAAGAATTGTGTACCTGAATCTTTTCCATGTATGTATACTTAATATGTGTATATCCTTTATCCTTTATGTTCTGTAGAGAATTACATTTTTATTATGAGTAAAGTTAATTAACCATTATCTTCTTCATGTATACTCCGGACTTTATGCACGTATCCTGCCACACATAATATATTTTGCACCTTTATTCTTTCCTATGACAGGAGCAGAGTAATGAAATGTGACTTTATGTAACAATCTCATTTAGAGTAACATATTTTTACTCTTTCTTTGTAACATGAATTCAGATGCGTAAATTTTGACAGCATTTCTGCTGCTGATTACAAATATATAATTAGAATTTTTCTATTACATAATTTTTTATCACAGAATTCTTTGTGACTTAATATATGTGTAGTGTATCTTACATGTGCACCGAGGAAGGGAAACATGTGAAAGCTGGAAGTACACGACTTTCTGCTATACTTTTCCTTAAGAATACCTCTTTTATGATTTTAGCAGAAGACAAATTGTTGCCTTTTGCTCATATAATGTTTTCCATGCTACGCGTTAATGTTAGGGATTTCCTGATGAAAACGCTCATCATGCTCATTGCTCAGTGCTCCGAGATTAAAAGGAAAGACATCTGAGATTTCGAAAGTTTTCAAAAATCGCCATGCAACTATCTTAACAAAATTTATTTGCTGATCACATTTCCGATCCTAATTTGTAAGTTCCTAAGTTGCGATCTCACTGTAGGATCATCTTGAATTTTACCATTTATAATATTAAGAAATTTATTTAAAAAATGTGAATTAATGTCTTTATAATAATTAATATATTTTCATAATTAAATAAATAATCTTTTTAATAATAATGAATTAATGTCATTTCTAATGTATGCTGCTATAAGAAAGAGCTCAATATGTAGCTATGTCATGTACATTTTTTCGGGATAATGAATATTGTGTTGATGACATTAAGCCTTTCGGGGTTGATTTGTCCATGTGATCATATACAGTGGTTTTACTTGTTTCTGTGTCATTCGCAAAAGAAACAGCGATATTTGCGTAGGCCAGCAGGTAAAGTAGCAATTACTTTTAATCAGTACAGATATTTCCCTGATACATTTTTTGGAGTATATGTTTCAAATTTGTACAGATTTCTTTCACACTGGCAACATTTATGACGATTACCCGTCATGTTAAATCATAAATGTAACAAAAATTATCAAGTTTAGAAGAGATTCTAAGCATTACTCTTGTTCATTAAAATAGTAATTCGATGAATCAAATATTAACTCAATTAAAGGTGAGTAGGGGAAAACACAGCATAGCAGACATATGCCTTGACAATAATGAAAAGTAAAAAAATCACTTTGTTTCTACTTTTAACATATTACGATAGTTAGGTTTGTGTTTACGATAAACTGAAAACTGGAGGTAGAGAATAGAAACTAAACGTAGACTAAGAAGGAAGCTCGCAAATTGAAAAAACAGAAGTATTTCTCTTATTTTAAACTTTAATATACCTGCATGCGTAACTTAAACTTTGATATGCTCGCACATTATTAGGAAGCATCTGTAAAGTATTGCCGTATGAAAGCTACAGGTGATAGTAAAACTCTGCACATCTGAAATAAACACACACGAATACATAGGAAACGAATCTTACTTATTATATTAAGAAACCTTTTCAACCGTACTAATGTATTAAATATAGTATAAATTCAACATTAAGTGAAGTAAAAGCAGAGTTTATTTTATGTATTGAAAGTAAAGTTAAAAAATTTTAACGCATAATATTCGTAGTTTGACAAAATATTAACAGATATACAAATGTTTAAAATCTTTGAAATTTTATATTTCATTATACAAGTTAAGCTAGTAATGAAATTTTATGATTTAAATAAATAAATTAACTAATAACGGAAGTTGGTGACTTACATAAATTCTAAATCTGATAATCGATGGAAAAGTTTTATATCGATATTATTTATTTCCAACCCTTGAAGATCTAATGATTTCAGTGAATAACATCCGCGAAATATGTCACTCGGAAAGGAGGAGATCATGTTGAACTCTAGATTTCTACGAAAAAAATACAAGAAAAGATTTAAAATATGATTGTTAAATAAAACCAAGAGAAAATACAAAAACAGTTTTTCTATGTCAACGATGTGTATTGCAGAGTTTGGTATTATAAAGGAAAAGAACAAAATAACACTATTTTAATAAGGATGTACTATTTGAAAATTTTATTATAACATCCCAAGTAGCGCATAATTTGTCAATATAAATTTTTTAAATTCATTTTTTAGAGTTCTATTAAATTTTTCAGCATTTTAGTCCAAAAGTCTTTTTGTTCCAGAGTTCAAATAATCATAATTCTTCAGGGAAGGTTTTTGTTATCACAGTATATCACAAAATAAACTTTTACATAATCATTACTTATAATTAAATGTAATGTACATAAATATTTATGATACTAATTTCCATACTGATAAATTATATTTTTAACACCATAAATATAATAGGAGTAAGTTTCAGAAATTATGTTTCCCGTTATTATCTTTCAATTTACATTCCTATTTTACAACTGGAAAGCCTCGCAATACTTCAACAACATATCCATCAATAGGGCTGTCCTCTGAGCTAACCAGTGTAATCTCTCCATGGTGGCCCGGGTGACTAGGCAGTTACTTGAAAGGTCTGAAAGGCCCGTTTCTTGCATAAGTAATGGCCTTGAGAACTGCAGTCCAATCAAATGCTTGAGACCCAAACTAACTCCTTTGACTAAGATTTCATCCTGAACATCACACCTTTCTTTCCACACTTGGCCTCGCTAGACTGCTGTCTATCTGATGCTGCTTTCTTGCTACAAGTTATAAAAAAATGTAGCCTTTTGGAACAGACATATTTAATCTGCCGACATGGTGTAGCCGCACAGATCTGAAAATAAAACTGAAGATTTATCAGCCTTCGCCTCCAATTCCTAGTCATAAAATTATGCTCCTAATATCACTACTACCAATAAGTTTGGCACCTTATAGAAAGAAAACTATTTTATTCAAATCAATAGCTGGTAGAGCCTCACGAGAGAATTACAGCTTGAACCCTCCGGGCGACTTTCCACGTCTTTGTATGACAGCTAGTGGTATTTTCTTCCACTCGGCTTGGAGAAACAAAATTCCTTCACCGATTTGCACGGGTAGTGCACCCTGATCGGCAATGCAACTGTCCCAGAGGTTCTCGATAGGTCAGGTCTGGACTCTGGGCAGGCCAGTCCATTCGATGAACTCCTTGGCACCATACCAAGCCTTGGTTAACGTCGAAACATGACACTTAAATGTCGTCCTGAAAGTAACAGGGGTCCAACCCGTAAAACTACGCAACGTAGGAAGCACATTGTCATCCAAAATAGTGCAGTAGGCAATCGGAGTTGAGCTTACCATGAATGGGGACCTAGGGTTCAGCTCATACCAGGAGAAACACCCCAGACCATATTCCCCTCCGCCGAACTTGACGGTTGGCACAATGCATTCGGACAGGAGACGTTCTCCAGGTAGACGCCAGACCCAGACCCTGCCATCCGACCGGTAAAGAGTGAACCTGATTCGTCACTCCAAAGAACCCGTTTCCACTGATCTACGGTCCAATTTCGATGTGCTTTGCACCACATTAACCGAGCGCACGGTTGGACTTTGTTATCAAGGCTTATGGTCAGCAGCACGACCATGAAAACCAAGCATTGTGCTTCCTTATGGATGTATTCATTGAAACAATACTCCTGGATGCCTGTTGAAACTCCTCGCGGATGAGGGCCATCGGTTGGCACGGTTCTTCCGAATTCTCTGGACAGCCTCGTCGGTCTCTATCTCCATTTCGTTGGTCTGCCGACTCGGGCACATTCGAAACCACCGCTCACCTTCTACTTCTTCATCAATAGGCCACTGTAGATTTTGGGTACTTCAGATCGCTAGATATGTCCCTTAGGATCGGCCACATTTGTGATACCCGATAATTATACCTTCTCGAAATCAAGAGCTCCGAACTGCACGGCATCTTGCATGCAACTAAAGCCAATGCTGTTTCCTACACGATATATACCGCAGTCCGTGACGTACCGCCGATATCGTCATTTGCATAGGTGTCCAAATACTTATTGGTAGTCAGTGTATTACATATATATATATGCTGAGGTTATTCAGTTACTAAGTAAAGAAAAGAAATAAGTGGGTAAGAAATACACACGTATTTTATTTGCTCATATTTTCCTCATTCTGAGATCGAACTTAGATAGTTAATTTATGCTTCACAGTTGCGTTTGTTTTAGTGCAGCTTAAGAGAGGATAATAAATTTTAAGTTGCATTATGAACTTGAGATTTTGTTACTGTGAAAGCAATTCGTCAACAGTGAAAGCAATTTTTGACAGTTTAAAACTCTCTTGCAATATATTTTGGTGTCAAGATAAGACCAGGTAAACACATCATGAACGCACAAAAGGGGTTTTCTCCCTTAATTCACAAGAAGACCTAAAAATGCAACTTATAATGCAAAATAAAAGTCCATGTCTGACAACAGACTAAGCTATGAAATAGTGGCTTTATTCGTGTCTCAATTTCTAGCGCAAAAGGATGGTTGTACTGATGGTTTCATACTACCGTCATGCCTAACATCAACACTAGCCAGTTTTTTTACAATGGCCTCCAAGAAGGAATTCCTGCCAAAGCAGAAGCCCATCAAGTGCCACGATAAATTGAGCGAAACCACAGATACCTCTGAAAAAGTACAGTAGGAAACATCTCCAGGATATAATAAAATTTTCTAAAGTTTATAGGCATGGAAGACACGTGAATACACATTTAAATGTAATCTTTATGTTCTGAACACAGCTCTAATATTCTGGCTGACAAAACATAACAAAATTACCGAAAAAGCTATTCATAAAAGCTACTTTTTTCCCCCAAAATGCATAGAAATATAAAACTATTTAATTCCTTTTTGTAGGGAAAATGAGGACACGGTATATCACTAGGTGACCAAAAACGTTATAAGGTTAAACGGAATGAAACAAGTTAACTTCAAAGTCAGAATACAGCAAGTTACTGCATGTGAACTCTTGTACTGAAAGATCAGCTCTGATTTGCAGAATGGAATTATAAAAACATTAAGGTTTTCTGCTTCATACTGTAGGTAGACTTTTATCATCATATCTACCAAATTTGGTTTGGTTCATTTGATTATGGGGAGTACTGGAGGGCTATCTGTATAAGGGAGGGATGCCTTCATGGAAGACTTCCTAAAATCGCGAAAATACCCATGCAGCCAACAGGTTTGCTGGGATTCGAACTCGACACCAAACGACCTGTGTTCAGTAACTTTACCTCTTGGCTGCTGGTGGGCCCCCATACCTACCAAGTACTTAAATTTTTTGTTGTTCGCGAGAGTTTTGAATTCGTACTTCAAACACAGCTGTTATTATATTAGGGATCTTAGTTTTTCAATGTTTCCTGCCTAGCAGAAATTTAATCCATTAGAAATTAATCCTTATATATCCAAATTTTACTTTTTAGTTGCATGTATGGAAAGGTTTCTTTAAAGGTGATTATTACAAAAGGCTGACTACATAATTAGAAATTTGAAAGGCTATTGAGGTAACTGTTTCTAAATTGAAACAGAATTTAGTTTTTGAAATTTCAAAGTGGCACGTATACATACATAATACATACATACATATATATATATATATATATTAAGCTTTCGAAAAAATAAAATTGTTTTCTATACACAGAAATATCACAGAAATAATAAAAAGGCGTCATTTTGTTTGCATTTTCCTTCATTTTCTTATCCTATTAAAAGTTTCAAAATTTGCAAATATTTTCTTATAAATTTAATAGGCATGTTATCTGAATTATTCTTGAAATTAAAATTTATGAATTAGATATTCATATACAGGAAAAATTTAGCCTGTAATATTTTAAAAAGACAATTATTAGAAATACTTACAATTTATTGAGATTTTTCAGATTCCAAAAGATTTTCGGCTTCAAATATTTCAGGCGATTGTGGGAAATATCTCTTGTAAATAAAGAAAACTTATTTTTTACAGTCAGAACACAATCATGTTATGAAAAATCAGTAAATAAATGTTGGCGCAGAATATATATAGATAAACTTAAAGCATTTAAAAAGTATATACTCGTATATATATTACTCAAAGAAGATTATTAAGAAGAAGTAATAGAAGGTCCTTCAACCTTGAATATTCAGTGCTTCTGGACACATATGAATCTACTCATATATAAATATTTAATGATAGAAAACATTAGCTGCTATGTCACTGTAGATAAGCAGTTTAAGATGTGAAATGAGTTTTGGCAATGCAGCCCTAATTTGCGACTTTCCATAACTTCAGCGTACTATTTAAGTTTATTAATGGTCGATTTTCAGAAAGAAAATATAATGTAATAAAAGAATAAATACTTGTGAAATCTTAATTTGTATGCACTTATGAATTTTATTGATTACAATTATTATTTATGGGTAGAAAAAGATTCATTTTCAATAAATATTTGCTCATACTTTAGAAATGTTCATGTTGCATGAAAATTTCTCTCTCTTTATATATTATGTTTCAATATTCAATATGTAACATGAAAGGCTAAGCGAAAATGAGATAAATTTAATTCTTGAAAATGTTTTCAGTATGTATAGCATTTTGAAAATCGTCTTTTTTCAGAATGTGCTTCATATTGCAATAACTATGTTCACAAAACACAAACAATTCAAATTTCGTGCAACAATCAGTAAATTATGGTTTAATAGATTATGGTATAAATGTGTAAGCAAAAATGAGGCACAGCGGAAGAATGATCAAAATGGTTATATACTTTACGCCAAGCAGATTTACTGAATAGAATCAAAATTTGACAATTGTAAATAACTACTTGTGCGCAACAACACAGTTTCAGCCTTGATGTCAGTTTTCTTTTATATAATCAAGTATAAATATCTAATAAGAAAACTCTAGCATAATTAAACCTTGTAAGTTTGACTGATAATTTAGTTTCAAAGCAGAGATTTAAATTCTGTGAAATTTCGAAAAAGCGTTTAAAAACAATGTATCTAAACTTGTTCGGAACAAAATTTTTTTTGCTTCTGAGGGTGAAGGAACTGTACCTTATCATTCTCGAAATCAAAAGAGCATTATTCAAAATCTACGGCAATCCAAGGCAGCCTTTTCTCCTTCACTTAAAATTTTACATAGGCATGCTTCTCTTAGAATAACTACTTAGTGTTCACAGTATAAATGTTGAATCATTTCAGTGTTACCTCACCTCATTGCACCATTTTCTGCCGAGACAGTAACTATGCGCATTGTCTTATGATATATCTTGTTCTCACAACTCAACTACTAAAACTACTAAAATGTATAATCGTTTCTATAACGTATAATCGAATAACTGCTGATTCACATTTTATATGACTGAAGTAACCGTCGCCTAGCCCATTTTGCAGGCCTTTGCGAGTTACAGCAGTTACCTTCCACCAGCAGGGCATAAAGTAAAGGTTGAACGAACTTTCTTGTTGAACAAAAGTCAGCAATAATAATAATAATAATAAAGAAATAAAAATTTTTCATTTTAATGGGAAAATGATATACAAAGACAAAAAATGGCTAAAATAACTTACAGCTCCAGAAGTTTCACTAAAGTTGAAAACGCTGTTTCTTCAATATCATATATGAGGTTATTTTTCAAAATCAATACTTCAAGTGCTGTCAAGTATTCGAAAGTAGATTTTTCTATTCGTTCCAAAAAATTTTTACCTAGCCCACTGAAAGAATAATTTACTAATGAAAGCAATTTTACGTGAAAGACGACACTTTATTTATAAATACAAATAAAATATAGTAGTAAATAAAAAGGCAATTAAAAGAATGATATAAAATGCAGTTAAGAGCAGGATATAAAAATAAAGTATTTTTTCAAACAAATAAAATTATTTTATAATGAATTGAAAAATATGCACATAAGATGTAAATTAGACCATGAAATAAGTAAATATTTGCATGCTCAATTCGAAATTTTAATATTAGTTAACTTAATAGCAAAATGTCGTTATAGAAATTAATATTGATCAAAATGAAATCACATAATTACGAAGTTAGAAAGCATTATACACATTTCTGAAGTTTGTTTAGATATTTTAAATTGCCATCTGAAACATTACGAAAAACTTTCTTCTTGATATCCCTTTTTCAAAATGCAAAAATACGTCTTGTATATCTTGCTGAAGAAAATGTGGCCATGTAATACAGGGTGGCCAAATAAGACTTACGAATGTTAAACATGAATAACTCTTGTAATAATAATATATTTTGATTAATTCTTTTATACATTAAATATATTTTATGGAACTTATGTATGAAATATGACATCAGATAAATGTCCACCATTTTTCTCGATACAGAAATTGGCTCTTTTTTAACGCGTTTTCCATTATACCACGTAATGTGTCTGGTTGAAGGCTCAGTATTTCGTCTCGAAAATTCTGCTTCAGCTGTCTAATAGTCTCTGGTTTATTAACATCCACTTTGTCTTTTAAGTATCCCCATTAAACAAAAAAAAAAAAAAAAAAAAAAAAAAAAAAGGATTCTGCTCCGCCATTGGCCGCAAAAAGTTTTCAATCATTGTTCTGTAAGAAGCTCCGGAAATCGTTTCCGGGGTTTCATTCTCATTCTCGAAGAAATATGAGCCGATAACTCTATTGGCCATAACACCGCACTAAACAGTACACTTGAATTAAAATATTGCCGATATTTACGCTGTGTCATAAAAATTGATCGTTGACAAGAAAAGAAAAATGCGATAATTTTAACGCGTTGTTTTGTACTGTATGGTTCCATAAACTTTAAAGTAACAAATAATTTATGCGCCGATATCTTGTGATTCACTTTCACTGGAGAAGATATTGATTACGCAGTTTATATTATGCAATATTTAATTACTGAAAGTATAAGATTAAGAAATAAATAAGCAAATTATTTTAATAAAAACACTCAATTTGATAATATAATAGCTAATTTTTTTAGTTGATACTACATTTTAATTTTATAATCCTTATATTTGATATACTCAAATATAAATTCATCTTTTAGAATAAATGTTTGAAATATAAATACAACAGGAGAAAAAAAGATTTCATTCCTTTTAGGAAATGCTTTTGATAAACAGAATAATTACCAATATCAATCAATTTATAAGCTTGTAAAAATATCTGTTGAAATATTTTACAGTCGCTGAAGACAAGATTTATGCATTTATTAACATCATCAGCATCTCCTTGAATGCTTTCAAATTTTCAGAAAATTGTCCATTTGGGCTGATGATCAACGGAAATAGCATTAACGAATTAAGGATCTCAAACGGCATAAAACCCGTCGTAAAAGCACTCAGTTTTATGGAAGAAACTGAACAGTAATTAAGATTTTAAAGGAAATATGTGACTTCAATTTTTAGAAAACGAAAGCCAACATACTCTGAGATTTCGCGCCTAAATATTGTCTTTTTCATACAAAAGCAACATTTAGCCAACATTACATCCCTCTATAAATATCGTAGAATTCAGCTGCTTTCTGCCATTGATATTGTTACGTTCGTGTGGATTTGGAGTGAATAACGACGACACTTGATGAAGTATCGAAACACCCTTTATTAGCCAGTATTGTCAGGACAGCTCCAAAACACGTTTTTACAGTCGTCGATGAACTATTAAACACGCTGACACAGATCAGCGACACAGCCCAAGGTTATGAGGCTATCACGGTGGAGACAGCTTCACGGCAAAGCACCAGAGTACAGCTCCAGACTCTGTTCGGTCATTCTCGGAACTCCACGTACTCTCGAGACTCTCCAGGCTGCAACTCGCGATACACTCGACGACACACAGAGCACAGCTCCCGACTCTTCGGTTCCGTCGTTCTCGAAGCTCAACACGCTCTCTCGACGATGCACTAACCGCGATACACTACGAGACTCTTTCGGTGCACAAAACGGCCCACTCGACACTCGCTGCCTGGCTGTCAACTCGATCGACTCCGCAGGGATTGACTCGCTAGAGGAGACACCAACTCGATACTAACTATCTCGCACTTTACGAGGCACTCTCACTCGCCCTCTCGACGAGGCAATTTCTAACTACTGCGGACGAGCAGGGTTTATGTAGCTTTTGAATGGTGTTCGAGAACATTCTGGGCTAAACCGGTAAGAATTCGTTCCAGAAGGTTTTCCATCCGTCCGTGGCATATCGCCAATTTTGTCGCCAAATGGGCGATTTCTCGCCAAATGTGGCAACCCTGCCTTCCCTATCCATTTTATGGCAACCCCAAACCGCGCCTGGACATTTCGTAACAATATTAATTTTGAATCTTCTGCTAGTAATGTACATAGATACATAAAAAAATATTATCAAGATACCTTCAAGAAAGTTTAATGCTATACACGTCTAGGTGATGATATAATGCATTACTGCTGTCATAAATTCATTATCTGGACCATAAAAATTGCTTTATTTCAGACTCCGAACTGGAAATATTAGTATTGTAATTATCAATCTATAAAGCTTGTATCATCTGATTTCATGAAGTTTTGAAACAAAAATTTATAGCAAACTCTGATATATATTTAAATATATAAATGCATAAAGAAACTTAATAAGAGGCAAAAATAAAAAGCAAATTTTTTAAACCTGTCCTGCGCTAAAGCTGCAGGATGAGTTCTGAATTAAAGTTTCAATAAAGGGAGATTAATTTTTATTTAATTTTATTATTTTGTATATATTTATATTTTTTATAATTTTATTATTTTTGTATTATTTTGCAGTTTTAGTTTTGGTGTTTGTATTACTATGATCATTTTTGTTTTGAAATGTTTTGATTTTACGTTTAACCCCTTTACAAGAGGTATATACATATAATCTTTACAAAGCTAGGACGTTCCATTCAAGATTATAACTGTCCAAGTATAAGGTATTTTCTCCCTCTTTTCCGCATGTTTTCGTGGTGTAATTGGAAACATACTCGACCCGTGTTCAAGTCTCCGGGGGGGGTAGTGTGGATTTCTTCAATTTTCTGATTTAAAGGGCGAAAAAACCTAAAAGACTCTACAGTGGCGCCTACCTAAGAGGCGGTGGATGATAATTCGTCATTAGCAGGATTTGGCACTTGGTTCTCCCCAGTCACCCTTTAAAAGAGGGACTATAAAAAGTATTTTCTCCCGCCTTTCTGCATGCCTTCGTGGTGCAATTGGAAGCATACTCGACGCGTATCGTCGAGTCGGGTGTGAATGAAATGTTTGAATCCCGGCGGGGCACTCCACATTTTTCATGTCTCTTGCTTCAAAATAACATAGTGGCTCTACACAGGAACCAGATTTTAGTTTTTCCTTAAGAAAAATAAGTGTTATGTAGCCTAGCTCTCTCTCTTTACTTTTACTTTAGGCCTCGTTTAACTAACATTAATATAGTAGAATATAATTATTCTAGTTGGAAACTTGTAGTTATAATGCCACCCTCAATAATCAACTAGCCAAAAAAGAGCAGGTTCTGTGAAAAACTTTCAGCTGTATCTACCAAATCACTGGAAATACATGTAATTTAATGTATATAGTTCAAACTAAGAAGTTTCTCAATTGCAGAATAAATAATCACAGACCAAACATTAAAAAGTTTCATCAGCAACATATAAAATTTAGTAAATTTTTCAGTTTTGGGTTTAGTTCCCAGTTTAAGACACATGAGGTTTAGCGGGTCACTCTGTAAGATATAGCTTTCTTTACTAGCAGAACTAGGCCTACTTGAAAGTCTGTTTAGCGACTTCCAGCTAAGGAAGATGAATACAACAGAGGAAAGGTGTAAAACCCCTTTTTTTGAACTGATTTGTTTACAGACGGCACGATCTTATGTGCTTAGAATGTCACAATCCGCTTGTCGTGAGGAACTGAAAGATATAGTGGTAGTATGCTAAAATATAAAATAAGCTAGTAAGTTCAAAACTACACAAATTTATTTACCTAGCAGGTTGACCCAGAAAAACTACACCGGCGTGATATTAATTTCAGCGGCAAGAATGCGAAGCTGAGTTTCAAACAGCTTGTAGAAATAACAACGTGTGCACTCAGCAGGGAAAACACTCTCTGGCTAGCCTATTTGTTTCTTCAGTTTAAATGTACTCTCTTTCACCCTAGCTCATTTACATCCTCTAGACTACTTGGTGTCTTTATTGTCAGTATCAGGGGCGCGAAAATTAAGGATATGTACTTGAGCCCGAAACATTTATTGAAGACAGTATAAGGGGTTAAGACAGATAACATAGTTTTTAATGTTACATTTTTTTGTCACATGAAATCTTTTTTCCTTTATATACTGCAAATAAATAAATTATATTCTTAAGTATATGTTTGCTTGGTTAGAAATATTTTACAATCAAATCAGATTCTTTAGCATGTTATTATAATATAAAATTGCAAATCTTAATTGAAAGACGATGTTGCTGTGATATCTATACTTACAGCCAAAATAGTCTGTTCAAAGTGGGGAATGTTCCTAGAGCTGTCAATTTGTTTTCAGCCAAATCTCTAAAAAATTATAAAATACCAGGCCTTTTTCAATACACATTACTCAATTAAAGAATTCAAATAGTATAAATTGTTAGAAGATTTTAAAAATTGTTTGAAATAGACTATGGACTATACACATAAATTATAGATTTACAATAGGCTATAGACGACAGACAAGAAAGACACATAAAACTATAGACTGAAATAAAAATATTACAGTTAGAAGTAATTTATACGGAAACCTTTCTGCATGTTTTTAATGGCATTTTTAATAGAACCACATAGGACAGGTATCTCTATATAAAAATATATAAGTAATAATTAAAAAACACTTTAACCTGTTTTTAGTGTAATATAAACTTCTAATTTCCAGAGGACACAGTTACGGAATCTCAAAACGTTTAGACGGAAGACTAATATTTCTCATGTTTTTATTGCACTTTTAAATTTAAAACTTTCTTTCTGTGAAAGCGCTGTGCTTTAACGAACAGCTATGTACGATTCAAATTTAACCATATAAATAACGCAGCAATAATAATAATAATAAAAAAAAAAAAAAACCCAGAATTCCCAAGATAAACATTATCTTATGTGAAAAGGAAGATGACGTGTTGACGCTACTAGATTTGTTAAACCCGTTTTCCGAAAGGAACATTTTTTAATCAAAGCAGCGAGACACGGGATAAACAAAGAATAATAAATCTATACGCAATTTTTAATTACTTTTCCTGTAACCTATAATAATTTTTTTTCCAAGGCGTACAAATGAATAATATTAAAGAATAAGTTTTATGCAATATATATACGAGTATATATATACAGGGTGCCCTCTAAAGTCCGGTACCACCTGCTTTACTGCCGAACAGCTGCAGCTATATTCATAAAATCGGTGTCTAGGTATAGTAAAGTAGCTATGCAATACTTGATGAAATAGCTTATAGCGCCACCTGGTGAAAAACGGCGGAATTAGCCTCCTTATTTCGAAAACGATACCAGATAGGAAGAAAAAGTGAATTACAAAGTTGCAGAGCATCGTCGATTTAGTACGAATAGGTGCCTTGTGAATATGAATGCTAAAAACAGAACTCTGAAATGCACATTTGTTTCTTCACGATTTCCGAAACTGTGACGTCACGAAACGTGAAAGAAAGGAGAAAGATTATCTTTCGAATGAAAATCATGCCCGTATCGCGGCACAGTGATGTCGTTTGTAATTCTTAGTCGACAGGACTGTGGTTCAAACCCCGCGAGGTGCATCCTTGTACTGATTGTCTTTACAAACAGAAAAGACAACATACAGATCGCATACAATCGTGTCGCGAAACGCATCAACTCAACGCAACTTGAGCTTGGTGTGAGAATTTGTGCATTATGCAAATAGTGTATGAAACGTCCCAACTGTTCACCTAAGACAGCTATAAAAGATATATCTCCTCGTGGTTGTACGTTGAAGCTCATGGAGCGATTTTCAAAAAATTATTATTGTGAGATGGTTCTACTTACGGTGAATGTGAGCGCAAGACTCGGTCGGCAGGGTAACTGCATCCACAACATTTTCCTACAGGCCCACATCCTTCATACAAAACCATCCTACAGGCTGTGAAACGTTTAAGGGAGATTCTGCCGGATCGAAGTCGGCTGCGTGACTAGCCGACTTCGATCCGGCAGATCAGCAAAGGCAGGGCGGAAAGTGCAACCGGAAGATGTCTATCATACGGCCTCACATATCGAAAGAGCAGCACAAGAGAGATAAATGAAAACTGTGGCCTCTCAAAAAGTCATTTTGAAAAATCCTAAATGAATTAGGTAGGTACTCATCTATACCGAAAAACATCTAACCAGGCATTACTGAACGGGAATACCGAGAGACGTTTCTCAAGGTGCAACTTCGTCATGAACCAGATAGAGGTCCAGCCAACGTTCTTGGAAGGTACAGTGTGGACGGATGAGGCATGCTTTTCGCGGAATGATATGTACGACAGGTAGAACACACATTACTGGACACTGGAAAATCCCTCACATTCTGCCGACGTTTGACATCAGATACGGTTTTCGATTAATGTTTGGTGTGAAATTCATAATAACAGGCTAATCGGCTCAATAGTTTACCAGGGTACGTTAATCGCCGCACAATATTTAGAACTTCTGCAAGACATAATACCGGATTTTTGTTGAGAACCTACCGTTGCTTCAATTCCTGAATGAATGGTTCCACCATGACGTCACAGGTGAAGCAGTACCTGATGGGGAAATTCGGAGAACGAACAGTCAGGTACAGTGGTTTCGAAGAGTGGCCTTCACATTCATCTGACATGACTACAATGGACTTTTTCCAGTGGGGGATACCTCAAACAGCAGATGTATGCGACCCCTTCACAAGCATTGCAGGACCTTCAACGACGTATTAAGCCCCTATCACACGGCGTTTGTTTCACACGAACAACTGTTTCGGACAATTTTTCTGCCTGGTTTACTATTGAAAGAAAGACGTGCGACTTTTTCCTTCCGTTCGTAAAAAGTTGCAAGTTGTTTGTTTTCCACCAATCAGCTATCAGCTTCGAATGCTATTAGCTTGTTTGTAATTGGAGAACCAGTTTTCCCTGTGTTAAGCCCAAAGCGATCTGTGGTGATTGGCTGTTGTGACAAAGCAGAAAGATTGTTCCAAACAGTTATCCTTTCGAAACAAACCGACGTGTGATAGCAGCCTTACAGATGCTTGTACAAACGTGCCACTCGCTATGCTACAACGTGCAACATGAACTTCTAACAAAGGCCCAGATGTACATTTCAGTTGCTGGAGAGAAGTTTAAAACATCGAAAATAAAGGTAACTTGTGATAACTAGTTATTTTTCCTTTCTAAGATCGTTTCGTGACGTCGCAATTTCGGAAATCGCGAACAAACAAATGCGCGTTTACAATGTTCTGTTCTTAACATTTATGTCCACGAAGTGTCTTTTCGTACTAAATCGACGATGCTCTACAACTTCGTAATTCATCTTTTCTTCCTAACTAGCATCGGTTTAGAGATAGGGACGCTAACTCCGCTCTTTTTCAACAGGTGGCACTGAAAGCTATCTCTTCTAGTAACGCGTAGCCACTTTACTATACCTAGACACCACTTTTATGATTATAGCTGCTGATGTTCGGCAGTTAAACGGGTGGACTTTAGTGGGCACCCTGTATAGTATGTGTTACGGTGAAAGACCGAAATCTGGAGAATGTCGACTTTCACCGGCGAATGTCAGCATTCACATAGTCGCTTGGTGTATGTCTGAAATATTTTCTAAATACTCTTATTTCTGACTTACACCGGTGAATGTCGACATTCACCATGTACTAATGGTGAATGTTGAACATATAAGAATATTATATTTCCTTCTCCGTAATTCATTTGCGAAAAAACACACTTCAAACTCAGAATGAGAACTTAAGAATATAAGAACTTAAAACACACTGTACTTCAAAATGAGAAGGAAATAATAGAAGTTATAAACTTACCAATTATGTGATTCAAATCTTATTTATTGCAACAACTTAAACTATTATGACACATTGAATTGCACAAGAGGCCCTTGCTTTTACACTGCATTTATTTGTGGAACACTTCCTTTTGCAATGCAGCGAGTACATATACTCTCTCTTTTCGACTTACACCAGATCATATCTGTGATTGTCGACATACACCGGTGAGGTCCGAATGTACAAGAATGTAAAGAAATATTTGATCTTTCACCGACGTATTTGGTGAATGTTGACGTTCTCCGGTGAAAGTCGACATTCTCCAATTTCGGTCTTTCACGGTAACATATATATTTAGCACTTAAATAATACTTAATGTTTTACGCAGTATACATATATATATATATATAATACTAGAGAAATCTTATGCAACAAAAGTATCCCAACATATATAGCGAATTTATGACCAGGAAAAGAAAGCAATTGCATTATTGCCAAATCAGTTGAAACTATTTAAATTTTATTTCTATACTATGTATCTATTAGTTTTGTAGAAGATGGTTGAAAGGCCTATTCATAGATGACGTAGTTTGTTTCCAATCTTTCAATAATTGGTTTGTATTTTAAGATATTTGAAAAATGTGATTTAGTTTCTGTATCTTCGGAAAAAAAGGCCCTTTTTACGGAACATTACAAAGACACAGTGCGAACAACAAAAACTTAAATTATGCAGACATTCGAAAAATGGTGAATAATTAGTCTTCCTTGAATTAAAATAGTCTTCCTCGAATTCCTGTTATTTCGTATTATTAACCTGGTTCAGTTATTGATTTAGTTCACTGTTTATTTTGACTCCATTCTTTCAATTTCAACACCAATTTCAAGTTGCTGACTCTTTTACTGAGCTAAATAATTTAAACTTTTGTATGTATTCCATTAATCGCGCAGCAGTTATTAAGATTAAAGAATACAGAAAACTGTTAAACACGAGAAAGCATAGCTTTGAATTAAATGTCTTATTTATACAAATTGTTTGCATACAAAACTTCAAGGGAAGGAAGATCCTCCAGAACTTCCATATTGAGCTCTCTTAGAAGGTTGCATTGCATAAGCAGCCACTGTAGATTTTCGAGTCCTTTAAATGTTTTTGGTTCAATCACTTTGATTTGATTTTTCATCAAGAGCCTGAAAATAAAATGTTAAAATTATGAAACAATGCATATATGAAACAATGCATATATGAAACAATATTTGACATAATTTTTAATGAGAATTTAAATGGGTATGAATTTAGATTTTCAGGGCATAATCAAGTTAGATTTCTAAAGTTTTAAAAACGTACAAAGTGATTCAAATGTCTAGAAATACCTATCTATTTTGCAAACTGTTGTAGGAATGAATAGAAGCTAAATACTGTGTATGAGTGATGGGTCTTTACCCTTTGGAAGGTATAGAGCAGGAACGGGTATTAAGTCGATCGCGTTCGACCGCTGAACTACCAAGACATTTTGGCGTGACCGTCTTTACTAAGATCTAAGACGCGCATACACAGTTATGGAAAAAAACGCATAAACACAGTTATGGAATGCCGATGCCAGCTAGACTGGAGAATCGGCTTTTCACAATCGATGCGACTGTATTTACTTAAGTAAATGATTCGATGAATGTGTAGATGACCGTATGTACCTTCATTCCACTGTCTGACGCCTTACGCATATACGTCGGTTTAGGATTCACCTGTTTATATAGTATGTTCGCTGCATTGAATACGCCCACGCTCCACTGTCTAGCAGTCGCTAAAGTCCTTTGAACATTTAACTTGACAATTTTGTCTTATTTTTGTTTTTGTAATGAAAATAGTAATCTGTCATATTTTAAAAGAGGTGTACGATGTCGAAAACAAGTGTTAAGAAAAGAAAAACGTACAATTTTAATACAGAATGGGAAGAACAATTTTTCTTTCCAATGGTGAATGCAAAATGCGTGTGATATATATGTAATGCAAGTGAAGTACTTCCAAAAAAGGAAACGTTGAAAAGCATTTCAAGCGCATTAATGGAAGTTTTGATACAGATTTTTGTTCAAAAGCGAATTGCGTAAATAAAAGTTAAATGAATTTAAATCGCAATTAATCGCACAACAATCACTATTTTATTAAACCCAATACTACATCTAAGGCTGCAACAGTTGCATCTTTTCGTGTGTGTCATGTGTTAGCAAACAATAAGAAACCTTTCGCAGGTGAAAAAATGATAAAAAAAAAAAAAAAAAAAAAAAAAAAAAAAAAGCAGCGTTTTTGGAAGCCAGCGATTCATTATTTGATTCATTCAAGAACAAAAATGAAATTATTTCCGCAATTAAAGACGTACAACATTCGCGTTGAACCGTCACGCGCCGCTTAGAAATGATGAATTCCTATCTGGCTGATCAGCTGACCGAGGATATTACTAATTATATTTGCTTTTCTTGCAGTTGACAAATCTACAAACATGGTTGATGCATTTTTATGGTTTTTAAGGATATGAGTGTGAAAGAAGAATTATTAACAATATTACCGCTAAAGAAGAAGACATGCGCTAAAGATGTTTGCTGCGCCTCCAAAAAATACATAGAGGAGGAAAAGTTCCAATTTATAAAGTTGTATCGATGACAACTGACCCCTATCAATGACGGGCACAGCCAATGGATTTTTGGATATGTGTATCAGAGACGATACTTACTGCATTTCCTTTCTTATTATTGCATTGCTCACCAACAGGCCCTCTGTTGTAAAATTCTAAATATGAGCATGTTATGGGAATCTGCATGAAAATTATGAACTCAGCTCGAGGAAGAAGTCTTCAAAGAAAAACGTTTCGGGCCCAACTAGAAGAAAACGAATCTTGGATGAATGGAGAATTGTTATATCATGCGAATGTTCATTGGTTAAATTGGAGTATATTTTTACAAAGATTCAAGGACCTACTATATGAGGTAGGTAAAAGATTTTTGGCATCAAATGGTAAAGCATACGTTGAACTTAGTGAAAACGCTTGTTGATGGATTTAGCTTTTGTTATTTATAGAACAAGCCATATTAGTGAAATGAACTTGCAATTGCAAGGGAAAAAAATCAAGCAATAGTACAATTGATTGGATTTGTTAATTTCTTTTAAAACCAAGTTAAATCTAATATCTTCCCAGTTGATGAAGAGTGAACTAAAAAATTTCAAAAATATTTCTGAGTTGTTTAAAAACGGAGGTACATTAAACAAAGATATATATTACGATGAAGTCATAAAACTTCACTTCGAATTTGAGAGACCTTTTGAAGAATTTACTAGATTAGAACCAACAGTTACATTCATGTGTTATACATTTGGCAATGTTGATGTGGAAGAGGTAACTGAAAATATAAATTATATATTCTCTTTATCACTTGAGGAAAACGAAGTTTTTCTCCTTCAGAATGACATAATTTTAAAAGCACGTAGTTCAGAATCTAAGAATAATTTTTGGAATCTAATGGACGAAGTAAAGTATCCTAATTTAAAAAAAGTTGCATTTTATTCAACAATGTTCTTAGGCTTTACCTACCTGCACGAATCTGCGTTTTCAACAATGAATATTATTAAGAAAACATATCGCTCCCGTCTCACTAACCACTACTTAGAATTCAGTACAAGATTAGCAATTAGTAATTATATACTAAGATATTCAAAATTGGCGAAGGGTATGAGCCTAACGAGAACTAAGAATAAATAAATATACGAACTGCAGTATAGGCGATTTTACCGACTTTTTGCGTGTTTGTTCATATTGTACTGTTCTGAAATTTCATAAAGGAATTTTTTAAGAAATGGGTAAATAGCACACATTCGTGCATGTAAAAGGAGAGAAAAATATAGGAAACTCAAAAGCTTGATTATTAACTTTTGATTAGGTTGATTTTCATTTATGGTAATTATACGTGATTATTTTTGTGGAACATTTAAGTAAAAACAGACGCAAAGCTCTCAAAGAAGAGAAAACTAGTCAGTCGCTCATTTATTTTATCATTTGATCAGGTTATAAGACAGATGATAATACTGATGATTTAATACGAAGAATAAAGCGATTTTTGAATCTTTGATAAGAGTTCTAGAAGTAACTTAATTACTTGAAGAAAAATACGTAGAAAGCGCACGGTAAAAGTCTCAGAAATGTATTGGTTTTACAAGCTGTCGAGAGATGGCGCCACGCCTTGCATATCTCTTCCCCGAAACAATTAAGCGAAGTTGCTGTTCGTAAATTGAATTCTTAAAGTTTGATAATGTTAAAACATTACTGTAAAAAGTAATAAAATGGTCAGCTTCAGATGACAGTTTTCTAAAATTTCTAAAATTCTAAATTCTTTTATTATATTCCATTCATATTTTAAAGTGAGCAGTATATAATGATTCATCCAGGGAATGGCAAACTATTTTTGGAAACGGTTAAGATCGTAAAAACTTTTTACGCTGTGCAGTTAGAAAACTTGAAGATATTTACATTCCTAATTCTACTTATAAAACAGGGAATGGGGAAGGGTAGAGAAAGAATAAAGTAATGTTAACTTTTGTTTTTTTATTATTATTTATTTATTATTTTTTAATAGAAGTGATATTTTTATGTATATAACAGTTTGCTGATACTTCGCACATAATACCATACACACCACACACACCCCACACACAAAAAAAAAAAAAAATCCATTATTAATAACGATTGCAGAAAAGATTATCGCGTCTAACAAATATGCCAAATTTCAACTCCCATATGTAATTTATGTATCTTAGAAATTGAGTAAAAACCTCTATTTTTGCAGTTTGCCTGGATACATTTACTTTAAGATGATGTTAAACTTTATAGTTATAATTCAAAATTTTTTTTCGAAAATCATAAAAATTATTTAAAAATAGCAAATTTCCATAATCATAAGAAGGATTAATTTATTGGAATGAACCTAATGGGGAAAAAAAAAAGAATTCAAATAAGTTAATAAATAAAAGAAATATTAATAATAATATCGAATTCAAATAACATTGAGGAGCTAAATTTGAGACTAATTTTTTTAAATAACTCGTGCGGTTTTTACAAGCTAAGTTGATACTTGAGTTGTAGAATCGAAATATGGAAAAAAAAATGGGCATGTCCATTCAGAAAAAAACCGATTTTGTGTCAAAATACCTATATTAGAACAATGCTATATACAAATCTAATGTATGTCCTAAGTCGCGGTTTCGAGACATGAAAAACACAGTTTGAATTTCGTTAATCGGCCCAGTAGAACGGGAGAACAGTCCCATTTTTTTGCGTAGTGTACGTAATAATTAATTACTGGCTCTATATGAAAGATTTTGGTTAATTTTCACTAGGCCAAGCCTTTGACTATCACTGTGCGAAGAGAGCCTCGTGAGGACTCTAAAGGTTAATATGGATCCATCACATTCACATGGTAAAAAAAAAAAAAAAAAAAAAAAAAAAAAAAAAACATGAAAGCTCTCACTTAGCCAGTGCTTTCTCCGAGTTGAACAACAGTTACCGCCTTATTGCTCGGGCACTAAAAGTGATATTGAAAAGTACAGGGGTGTGGTGTATTTAATTATGGAAGCACACTAGGGCTATCTGCCAATGGGAGGGATGCCTTCGTGGAGGACTTTCTAAGGAAATGACTCGTATACACGTTACGCATGGGGAAAACCACGAAAACACTCATGCAGCCAGCCCGTTTGCGGGATTCGAACCTCGGACCGAACTACCAGTGTTTAGAGACTTTACCGCTCGGCCGCTGGTGGGCCCCGACCCCGAAAAGTTACACGGAGATTCAGCTTACGGATGGAAATGAACGGGTTTTCCCGTTTATGTGGAACTACGATAAAGAATCGGAGGCGCTCAACACTGCTGTTGCTAAATATCTGGGTCACATATTCATGATTTCCGAAAACTGAAAAGATTTAGTTATTATTTAATTTATGGAAAGGAAACATAGTTTTAGTCTTCATGATGCTGTTCATGCACTCTGGACACATAACAATTTTATCAAAATATTGTAAAACCTAAAATTAGTGATATATTTTTTTTTCATTTAAAAAGAGCAAAGAACCACCGAGAAATGCAGCAGATGCCGCTAATTTCCATCCGTAAGCATGCAGCAGATACAGCAGGAAAACAATAAACAGTTGATCT